CTCTCTCTCTCTCTCTCTCTCTCTCTCTCTCTCTCTCTCTCTCTCTCTCTCTCTCTCTCTCTCTCTCTCTCTCTCTCTCTCTCTCTCTCTCTCTCTCTCTCTTTTTGTCTCTCTTTCTCTCTCTCTCTCACTCTCTCTCTCTCTCTCTCTCCCCCTCTCCCTCTCTCTCTCTTTTCTCTCTCTCTCTCTCTCTCTCTCGCTCTTTTCCCCTTTCTTAATTGTCTTACTTTCTCGTCCGCGTCCTCCCCGTTTATGCATATATAATATATATATATATATATATATATATATGCGTGTGTGTAATATACGTGTTTCTCTCCTCGCTCGTTTTTCCCCCCCCCCCCCCCCCCCCCCTCTCTCTCTCTCCTCTCTCTCTCTCTCTCTCTCTCTCTTCTATCTCTCTCTCTCTCTCTCTCTCTCTCTCTCTCTCTCTCTCTCTCTCTCCCTCTCTCTCTCTCTATCTCTCTCTCTCTCTATATATATATATCACCCTTTTCTTTAGCATCGGCTCGATCGCACTTGTGCCCAGGCCGAGCCGTGGCGCGCACCCCTCCGCATGTGTTCCCGCTTGAGAAGACAGGGACCGCGCTGCGCATAGCGGTGCTGATGCGCGCCCAAGTCCACTTCACCTACCGCGCGCGCCGTGGCTTCGAAAGGTCCTCACCGTGAGTCGCCCGCACCTCGGCATCCCAAACCACCGGGCTAAGTCCGTCAAAAGGCGACCCCCGTAGATCGACTGGATACCAACTCCAGTCAGTGGGAGACCTGCGTCGCCGCACTACAGAACAGCGGTGGCCTCGACCGAGAAGTCGCTGCATACAACGAACTCGCTCGCAAACATCCAACTGGCCCCGAAGTCGTTCACCAACAACGCCGCTCCGACCAACGAAAGCTCATTCGCGATCTAATGGTCTGGAACAACGATAGAGGGGGGGCGGGCATGGGAGAGACGCAGCGACACCCAATCGCCCGCTGATCGCCGATGGGGGCCCGACAGCCCCAACCTGCCCGGGCGCATTCGGATTTACAAGCAGGGCCCTGTCGCCGATCTATCGGCGATGTATCGCCGATTCCAGGTCGATGCGTCCTTCCCTACGCCAGCCCCCCCTCCCATATGGCTGGTCTCTCAAATCCTGCACTGTTCCCTCGCGCACAGAAGGCTTCAGACCGTGGCCCCGCGCCAGCAGCAACCGCGGTAGGCGCATAATCCCACTGGGGCAACGGCGCGGCCCCTCTCATCAGCAACGACGCACCAAATGGTGACGTCCCTATCGCGCCTCCGCTTCACAGGGCTGATCACGCCCCCTCCCCCGCGCGCCCGCAGCGCGCCGCAAGTCGCCGAGCGTCGAGAGCCATCCCGCTACGACGAAGACTCGGGCGAATATTCAGACGAATAATTGGAAGTGCGTGGCGAAACCCTCTTAACAGGGCTATCCAAACCAATCGTCTGAGGTCCCCGACCCAACCTCGCGCCCGCTGGCATCCCCAAACGCCCCGCCGAGCGTCAGAAGCTTTTAGGCTACGGCAAACAATCAGGAGAATGATGCGAAGCATTGTGGAACTGGATACGCCAACCAAGCGACCAGGAGACCTCTGATCAAACCGACGCCCGATGCCGCGGCGTCGAATCAGAGCGCCAGAGGATCGCGGACATTGTGACGACCCTTGCTAATCATCGAGAACAACGTGGCCACTTGCCGAGACACGCCGGCCCATTCATGCCACCAGGTAGAAATATAACTCGCTTCTGTCCGCGCCGAAAACATTATCTTGAACACAGACCTCACGGCCTTCCTGTCAAAAACCACTGCTGAACCTCCGGTGCCAGCAGGGGCGCCAGCGACTGCGGCGCCGAAGGAGGACCCCTGGAACTCAGTGGTCGCACAGCCGCCGTCAGCGGTTCTTGGATTTAACCGCTTCAGCCACCACCAAACCCCACAGGCATTGCCACCAGGGTGTATTTTAGCGAGACGCGAGGCGTTGCCACAGAGGCACCCGCGGCGCGGCAGCCCTGACCCGCACCCCGTTCCTCCTTGCATCCAGGAAGGCACCGAGGTTACTGTCATTAACCAGGCTGCTAACCCAATTGGCTTCAACATGGCATCGTCGTATGACGCACGGGGGACCATGACCAGTACGAGGTAGCCCAGTTGACCAACGGCAACACCGCCGTCATGTGCACATCAAGTCTGATCCTTCGCTCCCATCGCCAGTCGGAGGTGGGTGCCGAATTTCAACGTCAGGGCCCAGGCCAGCAGCGACGTCAGACTCGCCGGCGGCGGGTGATACCACAGAAGTACCAGTCCCGCCCGCGCGCGCGGATACCCGCGCCTGGGCCTGAGCGTGACGCTCCGATGTCAGCAGGGGCACCAGCGACTGCGGCACCGACAGGGCTCGCGGACTCCTCGACGTTCAGCGCGCGTCAGCGGAAGCGCCTCAACGAGCTCCGCCGATGGCGGCGCCGCGCCCTCGACGCGCCACTCCTTCCCGCCATCGCGGAGGGCGATGCCGCGGACGCCCCGCACGAGCGCGTCGGCGCGCCCCCTCGCGAGCCCTTGAATGCGAGAGCGGCTGGAGCAAATGCCGACAGCGCTCCGCGCGGCGAGGGCGAGGATAAGGATGGTGCAAGCGGGGCTCGCATCTACCTCGGTCCGACAGGGGGTGCTGGGCGCGTTCGTGACACTGGTGGTGTTTTGCAGCGCAAATTTGCCATGGCTGCTGTCGTGGGGCGACCGGCGGTCTTAGCTCGCCTCGTCTCGTTTGCTTCACTAGAACCACTGGGCCGCGCTCTTCGGAGCACCGCGCCAGTGCGCAAATTCAAAAACACGACAAAGGGCGAGCATGCGCCTCATCTCTCTGGTCTCGCCAGTTCGCCAGGGCAAAGTGGCCAGCTCGCCAGGGCTCGCGTCTGCGATTGTGGCGACCCACGCAAACGCATCAGTCCTGAGTGCACTACGCGCGGCACCAGGTGCCCGATCCCACCCTGCGCGATGAAGTCGGCGACGACGGCGTCGGGCGGCGGCCCGACGTGCGCGCCCGCGGCTGGGCGCAGCACCCCCCAGAGCGCTGTCTCGGGCAACGCGCTCCTGGCCGCCAATGCGAGCACCTCCGGCGCTCCGTGGAACGGCGCGTCGGCTAGCGCCAGCTTGGCCCTGGCGCGCGTCGGCAGGGCGAGCGCTGCCTCGAGTGCGTCGTTGAGCTGCGCCACGGGCGCCGGCGCTTCGTCGGCGAGCGCCAGCTCAGCCCTGGCGGCCGCGGGTGGCGCGAGCGTCGCTTCCAGCGTCGCCGCGGGCCCCGTCGGGGCCTTTCGTCGGGGGCGCCGTCGGCTGAGGTTGGCGCAGTTGGTCTGGGCCCCCCCGCCCGCCCGCCCGCTTTCAAACCCCCTTGCCCCCCAGGCAGCGACGAGTTCGAGCGGCTGCAGCCCAACTCCGATGCCCGCGCGGGGCGCGCGAAGGGCCGCGAGCGCCGCGCCGCTCCGCTTCGCGACGCAGTCGAGCGCCGCGTCGTTGAGCGGCGCGACGGGGCCCGGCGTGACGGGGCCGATCGCCGCGACGCGCGCGGGCGCGACGACGTCGAGCAGCGCGACGCGGCGCGGCGCCAGCGGCCTCGCATCGAGGGGCGAACGGCGCGACGAGCGCCGCGTCTTTAAGCAGCGCGCGCGGCGCCAGCGCCTCGACGCCTGGTGGCGGGGCGGGGTCGAGCGCCGCGACGTTGAGCGGCAGGGCGGGGCCCAGCGCGATGCGGCTCAGCGCCGGCAGCCTCGCATCAACCAGACGACCAGCGCAGCGAACGCCGCGTCTTGGGGCAGTGCATCTGTTGCTCGCGCCTCGACGCCGATCGCCGCGACGTAGTCGATCGCCGCGACCTCGAGCGGCGCCGCAGGGCCCGGCGCGACTGAGTCGAGCGCCGCGCCTGCGAGCTGTTCGACGGGGCCGAGCGCCGCGACTACGAGCAGCGCGACGGCATCCAGCGCCGACAGTTTCACGTGGGCGAGCGAGACGGCCAGCGCAACGGACGCCACATCTGAGTAGCGCGCCGGGGGCCAGTACGTCGACGCCTAGCGGCGCGACGGAGCCGAGCACCTCGGCGCGGAGGCAGCGCGACGGGGCCCGGCGCGGCAGAGTCGAGCACTGCGACGTTGAGCAGCGCGACGGGGTCGAGCACCGCGACGTCGAACAGCGCAATGGGATCCGACGCCGGCAGCCTCGCGCCCACGAGCGAGGCGAACAGTGCCACGACCACCGCGTCTTTGAGCAGGACGTCTGGGGCCAGTACTTCGATGCTGGGCAGCGCCATGGGGTCGAGCGCCGCGACGTCGAGCAGCGCGACGGGGCCCAGCGCGAGCGCGAGTGAATCGAGCGCCGTGATGTTCTGCAGCGCGACGGAGGCGAGCGCCGCGGCGCTTAGCAGCGCGACGGGTTCCAGCGCCAGCAGCCCCGCATCTGCGCGGCAGCCTGGCAGTGCAATGATCGCCGCATCTTTGGGCAACGCGCGCGACCTCTCCAGCTGTTCCATTTCCACGTTGACCGCGCACTGGGCGGTCTCCTCCTTGAGGTCTACCCCGAGCCCTGCGAGGCTGCGAGGTCCATGGCCCGGTGCCTCCCCGATCCGCAGTGGCCCCCTGGGGGTGCGATGAGCGCGTCGGCCTTTTTCCAAGAGCCGCGTTGGCCCGTTGCAGGCGGGATGCGAGCTTCGCCGCGCTCCCGCGAGCCGCGTTGGCCCGCTGGGGATGGGGCGCGGGCTCCGACCAACGCGGCGGCGAGCGCCGAACCGACCCTGACTCGCGCTAGGGGGGCGAGCACCCCCCGGGCATCGCGGCGCCCGGCATTTCGACGAGCGAGGCGAGGAGCGCAGCGGGCGCCGCGTTTTTGAGCAGCGCGTCTGGCGCCGGCGCGTCGATGCTGATCGGCGAGGCGGCGTCGGGCGCCGCGACGTTGAGCAGCGCGACGGCGTCGAGCGCGCGTGGGTCGAGCGCCGCGGCGTTGAGCGACCCGCGCGACGGAGGCGAGCGCCGCGACGTTGAGCAGCGCGACGGGGTCCAGCGCCATCGGCCTCGCATCTGCGAGCGAGAGGGAAAGTGCCGCGAGCGCCGCGTCCTTGAGCAGCCCGTTTGGGGCTGGCACTTCTACGCTTGGCAGCGCGATGGACTCAGGCGCCGCCGCGCTGACCAGCGCGGGGCTCAGCGCGACCGAGGCGAGCGCCGCGCAGTTGAGCGCTGCGCAGCGCGACGGAGTCGAGCGCCGCGACGTCGAGGGCAACGACGAAGTCGAGCGCCGCGACGCAGAGCAGCGCGACGGGCCCAGCGCGTCGGAATCGAGCGCCACGACGTTGAGCAGGGTGCTGGAGTCAGGTGCCGCGACGTTGAACGGCGCGGGGGAGTCGATTGCCGCGACGTTGGACTGCGCGCCGGGGCCCGCCGCGGGGAAGAAGCGCACCGCGACGTTGATCTACGCGGCGGCGCCGGTCGCCGCGACGCGGAGCAGCGCGACGGGTTCCAGCGCCAGCAGCCTCGCGCGCATCTACGAGCGAGACGAGCAGTGCAACGAGCGCCGCGACATTGAAAAGCGCATCTGGGGCCAGCGCCTCGACGCTGAGCACCGCGACGGGGTCGGGCGCCACGGCGTCGAGCAGCGCGACGGGATCGAGCGCGGCGGAGTCGGGCGCCGCGACGTTGAGCACCACGGCGAGGTCGAGAACCACGACATCTAGCAGCGCGACGGGATTCAGCGCCGGCAGCCTCGCACCTACGAGTGAGACGAGCAGCGCAGCGAGCGCTGGAGCAGCATTTCCGGCCCCAGCACCTCGGCGGCGACGTGCGGGGCCGACTCGACGCCTGCCCCTGGTCTCCTCTGGAGCGCTGCCCTCGTTGTGTCGCGCGTCGCGAGGGCCGTCTGGCGCCCGGGCTGGCTTGGTCGGTCTGGGTGCCCGCGTGGCCCGCGCCCCGTGCTGGACCTCTGCGGGGCGGGGCGGGCGCAGCTCGCGCGCCGCGTCGCTGACCCCCGCGACTGGCGCCGGCCGCGAGTTCGCGAGCGGCGCGTCGGACAGCGGCAGCCCCGCCGCGACGCCTACGCGCGGGATGAATACCGCCCCGCACACTTCGCCCCGCGCACTGCCGCCGGCAACACCTGCGCAACGGTGGGCAGCGCGCGGGCGAGCGCCAGGCCCGCCCCGACAGCCGCGAGCGGAGCAAGTTCTGCCCCGAGCGCCGCGCGGCTGTGGGCCCCCGCGGGCAACGGCGCCTCAGTGTCGAACAGCGTGCCCGAGATCAGCAGTTCGACCTGGCGCCCGCGAGCGGGAAGCGCGCGGCCGCTCGCATCGCGCTCGGCCCCGACAACCACGAGAGAGGTGAGCGTGCTCCCCTGTCAAATCGCGCCTCGACGTTAATCGGCGCGTCGCTGACCGCCGCGGCGGGCGCCAGCTGCCGATCGCCGAACAGCGCGAGCAGGCGCGCCATCGTCTCGTCGTGCATCAGCGGGGAGGGCGTTGCCGCGATAGCCGCGCCGATGAGTTGAACGATGGCTGCTTGCACTTCGACGATGCCCACCAGGTCGGGTACTACCAGATCGAGTGCCACGTTGCTGATCACCATGACCCGCGCCAGCCGCGAATCGGTGAGCAGCGCGACCTGGGGCAATAGTCCGATGCTGACGACCTTGCGCGGGGCGCCCACTTCTCCGCGGACTCCCCCGAGTCCTACCATGTCCACGGCCCAGTATTTCCAAGGTCCGCATTGGCCCAGGGGCGCGCGTGTCGATTTGTTTCCAAGAGCCACGCTGGCCCACTGGAGGTGGGATGCGAGCTCCGCCCTGCCCCCGCGAGCCGCATTGGCCTGCTGAGGGTGGGATGTGAGTTCCGACGAGCACGTCGGGGAGCACCAGCTCCACCCTCACGTGCAAAGGGCATAGACCGTCTGGGGCGCCCTTCATCTGGCCCGATCGCCTGCTTGCCTCTTGGGTGCCGCCCCAGGCGAGCGACCAGGCGCGTCTAGGTGCCCGCCAGTAGCGCCCCCGTGCGTCCGCACTTCTGAGGCCTGCGCGATGTTACCTAACAGCGAAGACTGATAGGTTTCTAGTAGGCTCAAAAGAGAGAGCATCTTGACTCCCCAGGGGGGTCTGGGCAGATGCCGGACGGATGCCGGGGAGAATCCGCGGACGTCGTTTTAAGCAAACAGTTGCACACTTCGCGGTCTTCGAGGTCCCAGAATTGAATTCCTGGGCATGTTTTTGAATGCCCGGAGCCAACTGTAGGCCACTTCGTGGTCTTCGAATTCCCAGAACTCCATTTCTGGGCATGATTTTGAATGCTCGGAGCCAGCTGTAGGCCACTTCGTGGTCTTCGAGTTCCCAGAATTCCATTCCTGGGCATGATTTTGAATGCCCGGAGCCAGCTGTAGGCCACTTCGTGGTCTTCGAATTCCCAACATTGCATTCCTGGGAATGACTGCGAATGCTCGCCACTTCGTGGTCTTCGAGTTCCCAGAATTCCATTCCTGGGCATGACTTCGAATGTCCGGAGCCAACTGTAAGCCACTTCGTGTTTGTCGAATTCCCAAAATTCCATTCCTGGGCATGACTACCGAACAGCGAAAATTGATAGGTTTCTAATAGGGCCAAAGAGCACCATGACGCCCCAGGGGGATTTGGGCGCGATCCGGGGAGATGCCAGTGAATTCGTTTTCAGCAAACAGTAACCCACTTCGTGGTCTTCGAGTTCCCAGAACTCCATTCTTGGGCATGATTTGGAAAGCCCGGAGCCAACTGTAGGCCACTTCGTGTTCTTCGTGTTCCCAAAACACCACTCCCGGGCCACATTTTGAATGCCCAGAGCCATTTGTATGTTCTTCGTGTTCCCACAACACCATTCCCGGGCCACATTTTGAAGTCCCGGAGCCAACTGTAGGCTACTTCGTGTTCTTCGTGTTCCCAGAACACCATTCCCGGGCCACATTTTGAATGCCCAGAGCCAACTGTAGGCCACTTCGTGTTCTTCGTGTTCCCAGAACACAATTCCCAGGCTACATTTTGATTGCCCGGAGCCAACTGTGAGGCTGAGGCTGAGGCAGGCTGAGGCTGAGGCAGGCTGAAACTGAGCCTGAGGCAGGCTGAGGCTGAGTCTGAGGCTCATGCAGGCTGAGGCTGAGAGGCTGACGCTGAGGCTGAGGCAGGCTGAGGCTGAGGCTGAAGCCGAGGCAGGCTGAGGCTGAGGCTGAGGCAAGCCGAGGCAGGCTGAGGCTGAGGGTGAAGCTGAGGCAGGCTGAGGCTGAGGCTGTGGCTGTGGCTGCGGCTGAGGCAAGCTGCGGCTGAGGCAGGCTGAGGCTGAGGCTGATGCAGGCTGAGGCTGAGGCAGGCTGAGGCTGAGGCAGGCTGAGGCAGGCTGAGGTTGAGGCTGAGGCTGAGGCCGAGGCAGGCTGAGGCTGAGGCCGAGGCAAGCCCAGGCAGGCTGAGGCTGAGGCTGAAGCTGAGGCAGGATGAGGCTGAGGCTGTGGCTGTGGCTGAGGCTGAGGCAAGTTGCGGCTGAGGCTGAGGCTGAGGCTGAGGCAGGATGAGGCTGAGGCTGAGGCAGGCTGAGGCTGAGGCTGAGGCCGAGGCAGGCTGAGGCTGAGGCTGAGGCAAGCCGAGGCAGGCTGAGGCTGCGTCTGCGAGAACAGCAGAATTCTACAACTGGATTCTCACCTAAATCTTAAGGGGAATGCTTCCAGATATGCTTCTACACATCTCTGTTAGGTTGCTTTGCCGGGATTTAGTATTATTATTTGTTTCCGTGGTTCTCATTCTTTTTCAGGCCGCTGCGGGGGGTGCTCCAAGGCGGCGCCTCTCTTCGCTGGGCGCTGGGGCGTGCGCGCCAACGCGCGCCTAAAGCCAGTGCCCTCCTTCGCACAGTTGCGCGGACGGGGCCGCGTGGGATCTGGTCACCGCCGACCGTCGCTTTTTCCAGCCGTGGACCCGTTTCGCCCGCGCCAGGGGGGAGGTCATCCAACCGCCCCTGTTTAGCTTGCTGCGCCTCGCGCTTTTTGAGGCGGGCCCGCTGGGCACATGCGGCTCATGGGGCCCGGGCGATGGCACTTTCCGAAGTGGTGCGGTCTCTACACGTCCGCCTTCTCCATTTTATTTTTTCCCCCTCCTCCCCCATCCCTTTCTCCCTCCTCTTCCCCTTCTATATCTCCCTCCCCTACCTCCCTGTTCGGCCCTTTCTCCTCTCCCTCCCTCGCGGTCTCCCCCCCTCGTTGACACGTGCGTGCGCACTATGAATGCTACTCTCTTCTCCACGTTCTCTGTGGCAGATGCCTGGCCCACAGTATTGCACATGTTTTCGTTGTTTCAAAATGGTTATCCCGCTGCAGCGTGGTCTTCATTTTCGGGCCAGCACTGTGCTCCCGTCGTTCAGGAAGGCGCTGTTGCCCCAACGCGGGCCACTTGTCTTGATCCGAGTCCTTTACATCGCTTTCGCTCCCTCATTTCCCTCCCCCGCCTCTCCCTGGTCCTCCTGCTTCTGCAGCTCCTTCCCCTCCAGTTCCCGTTTCTGCAGTTCGTCCCCGCCGTCCTCCTTCCACGTCCTCCTCCTTCTCCTCCTGCTCATCCTCTTGCTCGCCCGCCACCTCTTCCTCCTACTTGCGCAGCTCCACCTTTCCGCTTGCGGGTGACACGATTTGGCTTTTTGTTGTTTAAGTTCCAGGTCGGCTATGGCACGTGCCCGCTGATATAGAAACCCAGCTCAATAAAAGTGGATGGGAGGGGGGGGGTCGGATTGCAGATGTGGCGCCAGCGTGCTTAGCTTGCTACTTACGTTGTATTAATACTATCCCTTTCTCTCCCCTGACCCTGCCTTCAAGATCCCACCTCCCCACCACCAGCGCATTTGTAATTAAACATTTGTGCCGAATTTGTTTTTGTTGGGCCCCCCCGACCATACTGTGGTGTTGGGGCCTCGTTTTGAAGAAACGGTCCCCGCGTCTCCTCCCGTGCCCCACCCCCGTGGGGGTAACACATGCGTACGCCACACCCAGTACAGCGTTTCGTGGCCCCATAGGGAGCTCCACCCAAAGCCCCAGTGGGTATGGCCACATGCGTCCGCCACACCCAGTACAGCGCTTCGTGGCCCCGTAGGGAGCTCCACCCAAGGCCTCAGTGGGGGTGGCCACGTGCGTCCGCCACACCCAGTACAGCGCTTCGTGGCCCCATCGGGAGCTCCACGTACGGCCCCAACGGGGGAAACCACATGCGTCCGCCACACCCAATACGGGGCTCCACCCAAGGCCCCAGTGGGTGTGGCCACATGCGTCCGCCACACCCAGTACAGCGCTTCGTGGCCCCATGGGGAGCTCCACCCAAGGCCCCAGTGGGTGTGGCCACATGCGTCAGCCACACCCAGTACAGCGCTTCATGGCCCCATAGGAAGCTCCACCCAAGGCCCCAGTGGGGGTGGCCACATGCGTCCGCCAGCGCTTGGAGCCATTTGGGAATTTAGGGGCCAACGGCCCTACAGCGTTTCGTGGCCCCATAGGGAGTTCCACGTAAGGCCCCAGTGGGGGTGGCCACGTGCGTCCGCCACACCCAATACAGCGTTTCGTGGCCCCACAGGGAATCCCACCCAAGGCCCCAGTGGGGGTGGCCACATGCGTCCGCCACACCCAGTACAGCGCTTCGTTGCTCCATAGGGTGTTCCGCCGAAGGCCCCAGTGGGGGTGGCCACGTGCGTCCGCCACACCCAGTACAGCTTTCGGTGGCCCCATAGGGTACCCCACCCAAGGCCCCAGTGGGGGTGGCCACACGCGTCCGCCACACCCAGTACAGCGTTTCGTGGCCAGTGGGACCGTCCGCATGCGTCCCGCACACCCAATGTGGGATTTCCACCTTGCCCGGTACAGCGCTTCGTGGCCCCATAGGGAGCTTCACCGAAGGCCCCACTGGGACCGCCCGCATGTGCCCCGCACGCGCAATTTGACATTTTCACCCACCCGGTACAGCGCTTCGTGGCCCCATAGGGAGCCCCACCGAAGCCCCAAGTGGGACCGCCCACATGCGTCCCACACACCCTATTTGGCAGTTTCACCCACCCAGTACAGCGTTTCGTCGCCCCATAAAGGCTCCACCGAAGCCCCCAGTGGGACCGCCCGCATGAGTCCCACACACACAATTTGGCATTGGCTCTGCGTGTGCATCCCCATATGGTCCAACCAACCGACCACCCACATAAAAGGCAGCACACAGGCGGAAGAACAGTGCACAGTATTGAGTGCAGGTTGCAGCCCAACATGCCCGCTCTCACCTCGCTTCACGTCCGCTCGTCCTCCTCCTCCTCCTCCTTCCCCTCGCCTCCGTAGCCATTTTGGCTCAAGATGCACGTTTCCCCAGGGAGAGAAAGGGATGCCGCTAGTCCGCGGCAGTGCCAGAGCGCTTTCGCTCGACGTTCCCTTCTGCCAGCACCGAGCGGGTTCTCTGGCGACCCTCGTTCAAGGGCGGCGGACACAAACGCGACCATCTCCTCTCCTTCGGAGCCATGTCTGGAGCAGGGAGCCCCGCGCAGCATCGCATGGACTCGGAGGGCCCCTCCCAGCTGCAGTGGCCGCTCGTCGTCCAGGACTCGTTCATCCAAGTCCCACTCGAGGGCGCCCGAGTTCCGTCGCAAGGCTCCTCCAGCGGATCGTGGATGGCT